CTAACAAAATGGCGACGCAACCCCACAACAAAGTGACGCTACCAAAGTTTTGCCCCGACAACGCGGCTGCTTGGTGCAAGACCGTTGACATCATCATGGCGGAGAACACGATGGAAAGAAGCGCTCTCGTTATGGCGCTGAGAAACTCATTGGAAGGAGAAGCATCCCAATGGCTGTCTCAGATCTGCTACACTGGAATAAAGTGGCCAGTGTTTCGTGCATTATTTATTCAGCAATATGAAGGTGTAGAGACGCCAGCCGCTTTCTTGTTGGACATGTTTAGCAGTGCACCAAAGCTAAACGAGTGTATGTCTGTATATGCCAGTAGACAAGTAACGGCGCTGCTATTGAAATGGAAGAATATGAGCAACGAAGAAATTGCGGTATCTATCGTGCTGGCACATTCCGCACAAATGGAAAAACAACTGCAGCGTTTATTATTCACCACGAATATTAAAGCTCGTAGTAAACTAGAGCAACAATTGCGCTCCTATATCTTTGGAAAACGAACGAACCACACTAGTGGCCAAAGCGGAAGAAGCAGCGATCGTCGTGGCAAGGAAAGTGCCATTATTGTGGCAAACCTGGCCATAAGGTGACAGACTGCCGCATCAGAAAATTTGGAACCGAAAGTGACGCAAAAAGTAACCTTACTCACAGCAACACCATACCGAAGAGGGACATGTCAGCTGTAAAATTCTACAAGTGTGGCCAGCTGGGCCACATTGCAACCCAATGTACAGTCACACCATTGTCAACCAAGGGCAACAGATATGTGAAGCGAGTAGATGCGTGCACCGTAGTCGATCCGAAGGGGTCCCTATACTAGCAGGGTGAGGCCGTTTCATTTTTTTTTTGATTCAAGAGCCGAATGCTCTTTATTAAAAGAAAAATTTGCTGATAAGTTCACGGGCAAGAGGCTAAATAATACTGTACATATGTCATAGGTCAAGGTTCTGTGATTTGCACAGTTGAAAATCTTTCTACTGTAACTATAGGTGAATTTTCCATTGAGATTTTGTTTCACGTTGTTATGGACAAATATTTAAAGTATTTTACGGCTGAATAGCCGTGAAATTGTTGTGAACTTGAGTCAGTCCGACTGAGCTGAATTAGCAGAAATATTAAAGTCGCATGCATCAGCGTTTATAAATGGCATACATACCTAATCGTTGGGTCACTACGGGGGAATTAAAAATCCGTCTAATTGACGCCTATAAAACGGTAATGAGGCGCCCGTATAGATTGAGCGTTTAAGAAAAATTACTAGTAAGGGACAAAATACAGGAACTCTTAGCATGCGGCCTTATACGCCCAAGCTGCGGGTCCGATTTTGCTAATTAAAAAAGGATGGTAGTGATCGCTTGTGTATTGACTATCAAGAAGTGAATACTTACTCTCAGATAAATACCATTTGCCCATAATATCAGACCAAATCGATGGCGGTGGCAAGTATTTCTCCAGTCTTGACATGGCGAGCGGTTTCTATTAGATACTAATACATCCCGACTCGATTGAACGCACGCACATCCATTACAACAGATTTACAGTCCCTTGAGTTTGAGGTTGAATATAGGAAGGGAAATAGTGTGACACATGTTGATTTTTTTTTGCGAAATCCACTAGCGGTTAATAAGGGCTCCAATGTTACTAAAGTAACTGAAGTGCGCGTAGAATTACCAGATATTACAGATAACTGGTTACTCGCATAGCAGCATCGAGATTTGGAAATTTCAGATTTAATAACGATGTTACAAAATAACGAACTGAATCATGAAGTCACGTCTTCAACGTATGAATTACAATCTGGCATGTTGTATAGGAAGATACAAAAAAATTGACGATATCGTCCGGAGATACCGCGAGCATTTAGATGGTCGGTGATCGGTCGGAGCTAGCCGCTCGAATGGTCAGGTAGAGCGCGTCATGAGTACGATAAAAGCAATGCTGACAGCGGTTGAGACAAGTGAGCGGTCTTGGCAAGAAGCTTTAAAAGAGGCTATCAATTGCACAGCCAATAAAATAACAAAAACTAGTCCATTAGAATTATTGATTGGCAAAGGGTCTATACCTATGGGAATGATGCCGTTGGTGGAAGAGGAAGAAATTGATACTGTATGTAGTAGAACGAGAGCCTTGCAAAATATAGAATAAAATTCCAAAGATGAAAAGCAACTGTTCAGGCAATTCAGTGGCAGCTTATCTTTGAAACCCAATGTTTACATTTAGTACCTAAGATCATAGAGCTGAGCTTGCATGCTCATATAGCGAAAAAGCTCTCTCCCTCTCTCTTACTCACTCACTCAATAACTCATTATTTTGTAAATCAAACAGCCCAAGAAGGAGCTTGAATAAAATGTGAATTCACTCGCAATCTGGAATCGAAAGCGTTGAGAAGCCCATCTTTGTGTCCGCACTTTAATTTTTATTTGAAACATAATTTGCCGTACCGGCCAGTTCGCAATTGGGCGAACATTTTTTGGCGCCCCCGGATGGACATTTGGATCCCCATCGCTGGACATTTGGATCCCCATCGCTGGACATTTGGAGCCATATCGTTGGAGCCATTGGAAGCAGAACGTTGGATACTTTAGTTGGAGTCGATTTCTGGACGCCGGGCAATAAAATCTGGATTTAAAGCCCGCATCGCTGGATTGTTTGGAGTCAACGCTGAAGTGGTTTGAATTGTAATATGCGCCCTTATTATAATAAGTCGCATCAAACAAATAAGGTAAAAATTCTGAAAAATAAAAAATAACTTGCGCATGATTTTCGTATCACGCACACATACACATACATAGTACCGCTAATTTGGAAGCAGCAGCAGACAGAAGAATAAAGTGCATAAAGTACAAGAATTTACCATACGTTTTCTCGACTTTTCGTTGTGCCCAACTTCGTTTTGTGCGGCTGCATTTGTCGGTACAGTCGTGTTAGTTTTCTTGGTCGCCGCTCAGCTAAGCCAGCGCTCATACAGTTGTTTCGCTCATTGCGCTCAATTAATTGGAAGTCACTCAAAAGGTCGAACCGTTTGAGTTGGTTTGTGTAATATAATTCGGAGTGGACTGAGTCTGAGTGAAGCGGGACTCTTTGGTTTGAGTTAGAGTGGAACATTTCGGAAATTACAACATCGTTAAAACTCAATAAATTAATTATCGGAAAATGACTCGAAGACGTGGAGGTTCTGACAGCAATACTTCTGTTGTTGAAGAAGTCGATGCGGAAGGTATTATGAGAAAATTAAAGTCAGTTAAGGCAGATATCAATCGTCTAGCGCAAGCTATTAAAACTAAAAAGATTTCTTCAAACCCTACGCAATTGGATTGTCGGTTGAGTATTTTAGACACGTATATAGATCGAGCTTTCTCTTTACAATTGCAAGTGGAGGATATCGATTCGGAATTATCATCGCGAGCCGAACTCGAAGATTTGTGCGTGGTAACCAAAGCATTTTTGTTGTCTTTAAAAGGCCCAACCCCGCCTAATAATTTAAACGAGTCAGTTTTGAATACAACTACATCGCATCCACGTCACTTGCCGCGAATGCAGTTGCCCAAATTTAGTGGGAAGTATTCTGAATTCAAAAACTTTATTGGATTGTTTTCAAGCATAATTGATTGTGACCCATCGCTAAGCAACGTTGAAAAATTTAATCATCTATTATGTTGTTTAGAAGGCGAAGCTCTCGGTACTGTTAAGGCCTTTCAGGTGACGGATCAGAATTATGCGAAAGCGCTTGATGCACTGAAACAAGTTTATGATAATGAGTGCCTTATTTTCTTCGACGGAATATCTCAACTTTTTGAACTGCAGGCTATACAAAGCCCTTCAGCTAGTGCATTGAGGTCACTAATTGATACCGTATCTGCAATTTATGAGTCCCTATTGTCTGTTGGTGATGAAAAGGTTATTGCAAACGCACTTTTGATTCATATAGTTATGTCGAAGGTTGACGGAAAGACTCGCTCTAGGTGGGAAGAGAATTTAGATTATCAAAAAATTCCGTTGTGGTCGGATTGCGTTAGTGCCCTCAATAAGCGTTTTCAGCATCTATCGGCTGAAGAACCCACTACCGGGCGGTCAAAGGGTCGCAAGGGACAGCAAGAACACAAAGGTAGGCAGTTCGGAAAAACGGCATTGACAGCAGTACAAACAAGCAAAATGCAGGAAGTAAAATGTGTGTTCTGCAAATCTAATGATCAATTTATCACTACATGTCCGTCATTCGCAGCCGCGACTGTCATTACCCGGTTTAAATTTGCCAAGGGATTCCCACTTTGCATAAATTGTTTGTATCGGCATGCAAACTATCTCACTGCGGGGTATGCTCGAAACCCCACCATACATTGTTACATCGATACACTGCTGATGTATCCATACCACAAAACGTAGATTCTGCGGCAAGCCATCTTGGAGTGCTTGCTGCAGAACATCAACGTCCTGTGTTATCAAATCACGCCAGCGTCATTGATGTACAGCAAGTTGTTTTGGCAACTGCAGTTGTACATATAAAAGGTAGCTCTTGTCAGATTCAGCCAGCCAGGGTACTTCTAGATTCAGGTTCCCAGGTTAATTTTATTACGGAGGAAATGGCAAGAGGCTTGCAGTTAAAGCGAATTCGAAAAGAAGTTAATTTGTTGGGAATTGGAAAATCGACCGTATCTGCGCACCAAGTGGTGCAAACTACAATTAGTTCTCGTGTTCATGGCTTTCAAATGGTGTTTGATTTCGTCGTTCTTAAGTCTATTTCCTCCCACCATCCAGAGAAAGGCGTAGATTGTGAATCGCTTAACATTCCTAAAAATCTCCCGCTAGCTGATCCAGGCTTTCATAAGCCTCAAAAAATAGATTTGCTGCTAGGAGCAGACGAATTATTTGATTTGCTAAAAGATGGCCAAATTAAACAGAAAAACACACTCATTTTGCAAAACACTGTTTTTGGTTGGGTGGTGTCAGGGCGTTATAGATCAAAAGATCACCAAAGGACGGAAGTGTGCTCTATGGTAAGCACCGTGAATGAGTCTGGTCCACTGGAAAAACTAGTCAAACGTTTCTGGGAGTTGGAACAAGTTCCAAATGTGTCCGAGGACAAACGGTATACCCCAGAAGAAATGCTTTGTGAGAAAATCTTTCGAGAAACAGTTGTTCGTTTACCTTCAGGTCGATTGCAAGTATCCTTACCTTTCAAATCAAGCCCAACATGTCTCGGATCATCGTTTGAGATGGCAAGAAGGCGGTTTCTATCGCTAGAGAGACGCTTATCCAAAAATCCGAACACACAATTAATGTTTAATCAGTTCATGGAAGAGTATTTGGCTCTTGGGCATATGACTGCAATCGAGGGGTCAATACCGAAAGATCCACATTGTTTTATACCCTACCAATGTGTGGAACGTCCACAAAGCAAATCCACCAAGCTAAGAGTGGTGTTTGATGCATCTTGCAAGACTACTTCGCAAATGTCGCTTAATGACCTTCTGATGGTAGGAGCTACAATACTAGCATGCTTATATTCAACTCTCCTTAGATTTCGCTGTCGCAAATTCGCCCTTGTGGCAGACATAACTAAAATGTACCGTCAAGTGGAGATTGACGAGGCGCAGCGAATTTTCCAGTTAATTGTATGGAGAAGAGATCCTGTAAGCCCCTTAGAAATTTATCGGCTGAATACTGTCACATATGGAACAGCAAGTGCCCCTTTTCTTGCAGTTAGATGCTTAAAATATCTCAGCGACAGTCATTTACAATCACATCCTAGAGGTGCAAGAGCACTTGCCAAAGCTTTTTACGTTGATGATCTGCTCACTGGAGCAGATACAGAAGAAGAAATAGTCATTCTTCGTCGAGAACTCGTTAACATATTGGAACCTGCAGGCTTTGTTCTAACAAAATGGGCTTCGAATTGTGAAACTAATATGTATACCAAATCGAATGCAGAAATGGAGATCTTGAAGACCTCAAAACACTTGGATTAATATGGAATCCGCAGGCAGATGTGTTTAAGTATCGCGTTAGTAAGGTATCTTCTGATCAGTTGGTGACCAAAAGATCAATCTTGTCCTTTATCGCTACTCTCTTTGATCCGTTGGGTTTGTTATGCCCAATTATAACCAAAGCAAAAATATTTCTTCAAGAGGCTTGGCTCTTGAGTCTAAACTGGGATGATCCTGTTCCCAAAGAATTTGAAAATAGGTGGAACATAGTAAAAAATGACTTTGCACTGTTGGAAAAGTTGACTATACCGAGGTTTGACGAAACAAGCAAGCAAGCAGTGTGTCACATTCATGGGTTCGCAGATGCTTCTACACGAGCCTATGGGTGTTGCCTATATGTCAGAGTGGTTGATCCAAGCGGGGTATCTGTGCACTTATTAACAGCAAAATCTAGAGTAGCCCCTTTAAAAACAAAAACTATTCCTAGACTGGAATTATGCGCGGCGCATCTGTTAGCAAACTGTGGGAAGAAGTTCGTAGCATTATTGACTTTCCTGTAGAGAGCGTTGTACTGTGGTCCGATTCGGAAGTAGTTCTTCACTGGATACAAACTCACCCATCCCAGCTTGCTACATTTGTATCGAACAGAATTGCTGATATTCAGGACATTGTGTCATCAGCGGTTTGGCGGCATGTGCCAACAAAAGAAAATCCTGCGGATTTAGTGTCGCGAGGATGCTCTGTGGATGAGCTAAATACCTCGTTTTGGTACAATGGTCCTAGTTTTTTATAGAAAGAAGCGGAATACTGGCCGCAAAACTCGCACTTTCAGCTCTCAAAAACAGAGTCAGAATTAGAATTCTAAAAGTCACGCGTCGCTCTTATCGCGGCCGATGGTGAGCCAAACCCGATTCTCAATATTGTAGAAAGGTCATCTTCTTATCTAAAGGTGGTTCGCATAGTATCCTACATTTATCGATTTATTAACCTTCGAAAAAATGCTACTTGGAATTCAATTTGCCCGTCAGCGGACGAATTGGGAACGGCATTTCTTAAGGTAGTAGAAACGGTTCAACAGAAAGCCTTTGCAGATGAAATTGTGAAGCTGGAGAAATCAGCCAATTTGCGTGCGGGAATTCAAAAGTTAAATCCCTTTGTCTCGGTGGAACAACTTGGGAATTCATCATTCTCCCTGCTGCGGGTAGGTGGTCGTCTACTACATGCCCCCATTGCGCACAACGCTAAATTTCCCTTACTAATGCCAAAGAACTGCAAATTTGTGAATCTATATTTGAGACACTTACATAGAACCAACTGTTATGCGGGACCAAGGTCGTTGGTGGGACTTTTAAGACAATCAACCTGGTTAATAAACGCGCGCCGTGAGTGCAGTGCCATTGTAAGGCAGTGCGTCCATTGCTTTCACTACAAACCAAAACTTCTATCACAGATAATGGGTAATTTACCAAAGGATCGACTACAGGGAAATAGACCCTTTGAAGTAAGCGGAGTCGATCTGTTTGGCCCAGTCAAAGTCTCCCTAGGGAATTCGTGGGAAGCAGCCGATAAAGATGTACATAGCAGTGTTCGTCTGTTTTGCATCATAGGCTGTTCATTTGGAAATCGTGAAAGACTTGACATCTAATACATTTATTTTATGCATATCCAGGTTTCTGGGTCGCCGCGGCCCTGTAGTCAAACTTTATTGCGACAATGCTACAAATTTTGTGGGTGCTGCACGAATCCTCAAGGAGCACATGGAACCCTTCGGCACCAACGACCAGAGCATCATGTCGTATGCTGCAGCACACCGATTCACCATCGAATTCATCCGGCCCAGAGCGCCACACATTGGCGGTCTTTGGGAGGCGGCCGTAAAGTCGGCCAAGCACCTTTTGTTGAAGGCTATGGACAAGGCAATTCTCAAGGAGGACGAGCTGCATACGGTCATCGTGGAGGTGGAAGCCGTTCTAAATTCGAGGCCGCTCATCGTGGACAGTGGCAGTCCCAACGAGGGAGAGGTCGTCACACCAGCGCATCTACTCGTAGGCACAACGCTAGCAACGCTGCCACCCGCATCCGCGCAGCAAAAGGCAGACTGCAACCTCACGTACTTGCAGAGATGGCAGCTAGTCTCAGCGATCAAATAGCGATTTTGGAGCGACTGGTCGAGAGACTATCTACTGAGCCTACAGCAGCGGGGAAAATGGACCAAAGGCGTGGACAATCTTCAAGTCGGAACAGTGGTGGCGATTCACGAAGACAACGTTCCCCCCCAATTGTGGATAACAGGCGTAGTCGTAGAGGTCATTCCAGGACATGATGGGAAGGTTCGCGTAGCTGTAGTCAGAACAAAATCTGGCATATACAAGCGGTCTATTCACCTTGCACCTATTCCTATGTGTTGAAGCATGCATGCTGTCAACGCGGCCGATGTTCAGGCAATTCAGTGGCAGCTTATCTTTGAAACCCAATGTTTACATTTAGAACCTAAGATCATAGAGCTGAGCTTACATGCTCATATAGCGAAAAAGCTCTCTCCCTCTCTCTTACTCACTCACTCAAGAACCCATTATTTTGTAAATCAAACAGCCCAAGAAGGAGCTTGAATAAAATGTGAAATCACTCGCAATCTGGAATCGAAAGCGTTGAGAAGCCCATCTTTGTGTCCGCACTTTAATTTTTATTTGAAACATAATTTGCCGTACCGGCCAGTTCGCAATTGGGCGAACAGCAACGATTTGATAAAAATAAAGCTAAGATTGTTAGTTATTCTGGGGGCGACCATGTCCTGCTCAAAAATGAAGAACGGCACCAAACAAAGCTGGATCCGAAGTATAAAGGACCCTTTGTCATAATAGAAAAGCTTGATGGTGACCAATATGTCTTGATATCTCTTAAGTAGCGAACTTATAAGTATGCCCACGAGCAGTTGCGTGCGATGCTTCTTGAGGTGGATGTAGATCAATACGAGAGTTCGCCGGCTGAGGCACTCGTAGGTTGAATCATTTATAAGGCTGCAGCCGGACCAAGTAGTTGTCTGCGCAGGAACTACATGGCGGGGGCTATGAGGGTCCAGAGACCGTGACATAAGAGGTGCGTGTAAGCGTTGCAAGGTGTGCAGCAAGAGCCTGAAAGTGTAAATTGATGAGATGTTGAGTAGGAGTCATGTTACGAGAAAAGAATGAAATCACAGAGTGACATGCCAAAAAAAAAAAAAAAAAGCAAGAAGAAATTTGAGCAAGGCAAGGAACGCAAATATAATTCAATTAACTAAATAATTTTATGATTTGGATAATACTGATTCAAAATTCAATGTTTGAATGAAATGTCATGTTACCTTGATATGAATGAAACAAATAAATTGAAGTGCTAAGTTTAGACCAAATAGAGAAACAAAAGAGACATGACACGCGAGGACGCGTGAAATGTCAGGAAGGCCGTGTCGTAGATTCGTAAAGCTAGCTATGTTAAATTCGAGTGTAACCGAAATAATGAGCCCGATTTAGAGTAAAGAAGTGTGTAATATTCTGATGAGTTGAGTAAACATCATTTGAGTGTAATTCAATTGAGCATGGCGCCTGGGGTAGTTCAGCTGAGTAGTGTGCGGCGAGAGCATGGTGAAATAAATGAATGGTGTGGTGAGATAGAGAAGAGAGCGATGACAGGTGAATGGCAATTCAATTCAGAACGGACGAGGAACATCACCCAGGCGACTTGCTGTGCGAAACTCGAAAAACTGCAGAATCATGGAGGATGAACCGATGTCTGCGACACCACCTCATAGGTCTCCGATATATATTTCACTTTTCACGCTACTTCTTACATATCAGTAATACAAATACAGAAAAGACAAAAACGGAAAATATACGTAAAAATACGAGCTCACACCGTGCGCCTGGCATTGCTTCGCGGGCGCAAATGCCCCTACTCCTACTTCCGCCTTCGCTCCAGGGTCCTGAGGGTCACGTATGCGGCAAATGAGTCTGCCGCTTCCCACACTCTCTGGTCTTCGAGCATTTTCGGTACCAAAGAGCACGTGTTGCGCGTCTTCCACAATACCAGATCCGCACTTCGGGCACCAATCCTCCATCTCGTGGCAGAAGCGCTTTAAATACTGACGATAGCATCCGTGGCCAATTAGCACCTGGCTCAGGTAGAAGTTAACCTACCCATGGGACCTCTCTACCCATCGCGCTATGTCTCGGATGAGTCTGTGCGTCCAACGGCCGGAAGAGGAGTTCCATTGAGACTTCCAGTTCTCCATGCTCCTCCTTCTGGCGGCAGCCTTAAGCTCGGCTCTAGACGGCAGTGCCCTCCTGCCCTGCATGGTCACGAAGATCTCCTTCCTCTCCCGGATAAGCTCCGCCAGTGGGACTTGCCCTGCGATGACCAATGCTGCGTATTCCTTGATAGTCTGGAACGAGCACGCGATCCTGATGGCGCACAGTCTGTAGGTCGCCTCCACTCCTCGTATGTAGCTTTTGACCGATGCAGCTTCAGCCCAAACTGATGACACATACAGGATCTGCGCGGTCACCACTGATGAAAGGAGTTTCCTTCTATACTGCTTTGGTCCTCTCGTGGAGGAGGATGCTCTCCTGAAGAGCATTCCTACCGTGCCGCTGGCCTTTTAGTGGACGTAATCCAGGTGCTTTTTGAAGGACAGACGAGTATAGTTGAGGACGCCCAGGTACTTGATCGCCCGCTGCGATCGGATCCTCGTCCCTCCAACCAGAACGCTGGCAGTCTCCACCGCTTTGCGGCTCGAGATAAGGACAGCTTCCGTCTTGTGGGCCTCCAACTCCAGACCTGCAACTAGTGTGCCGAGTTGAAGGCATTCCTGATGTCCAGGGTGGCCACAAGGCAGAGGGACTTGCTTCCTCCTTTCCACCTGGTTCCGGCATCCTGCGCCACTTTGACTACCCTCGCAATGGCGTCTAGCGTAGACTTCCCCTTCGTGAAGCCATATTGCTCCGGGGAGAGTCCACCAGCGGCTTCGATGGCTCGGCTCAACCGGGTCGAGATCACCCTCTCGTAGACCTTACCAATAGTGTTCAGCAGAAAGATCGATCTGTAGGACGATGCTTCTCCTGGTGGCTTGCCAGACTTAGGTAGCAGCAGCAGCCGTTGCTTTTTCCATCTTTCGGGGAACGTCCCCTCCAGAAGGCACTTGTTGAACAGACAGTCAGTGGCCAGCAGCGATAGAGTCAGCTTGGTTGCTCTACTCAGAATCGCGTCCGGCCCCGGAGCCTTTTTGGGCTTCAGAATTCTACCTGGAGAACCTCAACTTCCGTGACCCAACGGATTTCGCCCAACTCGGTGCTGGGGCAGATCACGACGTGCCGTCCGCTCGGGAACAGGGTGCAAAATATTCTGTCCAGCGTCATCGGGTCGGTTGGGGCACTGCCACCCGCATTAAGCCTTTTCACTACCATTTTGTAGGCTCCTCCCCAAGGATCCTCATCGGCGGCGTCACACAGCTTGAGGAAGCATTATCAATTGCTGGTCCCGGAAAACCCAAAACATGCACGTCGACCCGGTGATCATCGTCAAGATGGAAAGCGCTCGGGAGATGATCGCACTCCTCAAGCAAATTGGGGCGTACCGGCGCGAGCGTAAATGCCAGCTAACTCTAAAGCTCTTTGGTATCGACTCGGACGCTGCAGTTTATGTCAACGAGCAGCTGACGAGAGATAATTATCTCAGTTTCAAAGAAGCCATGCGTATGAAAAAGCATCGTGTTCTCACAGCTGTTTTCACCCGCCGTGGCTTAGTTCACGTTCGCTGCATGGGCAGAGAGGGCGTAAACTGCATCGCGCACATGAGCGAGCTTTCGACGCTCACTGCCGACCCTCTCTCTTCGTCTCTCACCACCTCTCTCTCTGGCGCTACGATAGAAGCTGGAGATGCTGTCGCTGCTGAACCTAGCTTTCGCTCTTAATCAATTTTATCATTTTTTCTTAGTTAAGTTATCTTTAGAATTTTGTTATCGTTTGTTGTTTGTTTACACTTATATGTTTCTAAATTGCTTTGCAGATATTGAGCTTGCATTCCTAACTTTAGCCAAATCTTCCAGTGCCGGATGAAGTAAGGTGTTCCATAACTGATAGCCTGATAAAAGTTATTAGCAAACGTAAAATCGGGCTCAAAGTTGTTCATCTAAATGCCCAACGTCTATTGCGAAAAATGGATGAATTTCGGTTTCTTTTTATTAATTCTGACGTAGATGTAATTTGTGTGTCTGAGACGTGGTTCTCAATAAATGTTTGTGATGTACTATTGTCGTGTGATGGATATGCTGTGTATCGTTCGGATCGCGTCGGTCATGCAGGAGGGGTAGCTATTTTTGTTAAAACAACTCTTAAATGTACTGTTAAATGTAAACAACCCAGTGATTGTCCATTAGAGTACCTGTTTCTTGATATATGTTGTAAAAATAATAGAAATACGCTGATTGGCTGTATATACCGACCCAACACCACGACTGAATACGAGCCACTACTGACAACAATTGCCGACTTATCTATGGTGTACACAGATGTCATCTTGGCAGGGGACTTTAACAGCAATCTGTTAAAGGAAAGACACCTTTTAGATAATTTTGAGTCCTTGGGTTTTTATCCAGCTAACGACACGACGCCAACGCATTTCAGCAGCACCTGTGATACCCTACTTGACCTATTTTTTATAAATGACCCCAGCAAGATTTTACTTTATGACCAGGTTTCAGTACCAGTTTTTTCTAGACACGACCTAATTTTTCTGACATATGACACGTCCTTAGACTATAAAACAGACTTTTTTGCCTATAGAGACTTTAGGAATATTGACTATACTGGACTTCAATTAGATTTAGGTTTATGTGACTGGGAAACTATTTATCTCCAACCTAACGTTGACATTCAACTCCAAATCCTAAATAGCAATATACAGTACCTGTTTGAGAAATTCGTACCCTTAAAAACCAAAACGCCAAAGCCCAGACAGACCCCCTGGTTTACTATAGAAATTACGAATCTTATACGACAGCGTGATGCATCTTTTAAAAGATGGAAGCGTTATAAAACTAACGAACTCCACAGTCATTACAAGACAGCCTGGGAAGCGGTTACCAAAAAAATAAAATTGGCTAAACGTGACCACTACA